GTGTTCTTAGAATGGTTTCACTCACCTTGTTAGAGAATTTTAAAAGCAGAAGAACATTTATAGTCTAGCTAGCTTGGCATATTGCTGCCATAGTCTGGAAGTTGGGGCTGGGGGGCTGGGGAGGGGAGGCAGGAAGCTAACCTCAGTCAATAGATTCTTGTTGCCTCTTCTCAGTTTTGTGTTGGTTTATATTTCTTTGCAAATTAGTTGCATTTTAAAATGGGAACAAACAATATACCAATAAAGGAAAAGGAGATTTGAATTAAAAACAACAACAAACCTGTGTGTTTTCAAAATTTTGCTCAAGATTAGACTCTGAGGCCCTCAATAAATGTAAACATGGGTTCTTTAGTTAAATTTAGTGTAAAATTGATCAAATCAAACTTTTTATTGCCTTTAGCAACACCTCCTAGCCAGCTTTTCTTCCTTTTCTCTCTTTGAATTAGTGCTCCTCTTTCTCAAAGTGAATTTTTAAAATTTACACAGAGGAGAAGGAAACTAAAACTATAAACATTAAGTTTATATTCTCACTTAAACAAGAATGCACAATATCTTGTTCTGATAAGTGTAAGGTTCAAAATACCTAATTTTAGTGTTAATGACTTGTTGACACGTGAAAGCCTTTCTAGATTGTGTGTGTGTGTTATTGTTTGTATATGTTATAGCTATCCTGGCAAGAAGAGCTGTAGATTTTCTTCATATGAATCATTTTTCAGCCTCAGTCACGTATTGGAAAAAGAAAAAGGGAAAAAAAGCAGTTCAGGTGCATTAGGAACCCATGGCATGAACAGTGTTGAATAGATGGGTACATAACTGGTAAAGGGCATATCCAAACAGTAATAATCAATTGCTTGTTTCAACCTTAAAAGCACATATTGAGTGGTGTCACACGGGGGTTAGTCTTGTGCCTGGTATCATTTAATATTTTTATCAGTGAATGGATGATAGAATTAAAATTATACTTTTAAGTCATAAGACCTTAGATCAGATTACTAATATTTGAGGACTAGAAAAGAATTTAATGTGACCTTAACCAGGGAGGTAAATAATCATGGAAAACAGGAGGTTATTTTTATAGATAGTCCCCCCCCAAAAAAAAAATTATATAGGTAACTCTTGTTTATTCACAATGAGTTTCTAATTTGTGATTTATCCAAGGCAATTTTTAAATTTAAAATTGGTTTCTTCCTTCCATCCATCATGTCCTTTTATCACCTTTGGCTGCTAAGGGTTATGTGCTCAGCGAATACCAAATAATTCTGAGGTTAATCTAAGCTGAGTATAATTGGAAAGGCAAGTCTACAGCAAAGGAAGAAGAGGAAGAGAGGATAATGTTCAGTGGGAGAATGAAGGAAGGAAAGAAGGGAGGAAGGGAAAAAAAGATAGGGAGAGGAAGCATTCTACCAAGAAACTCTAATTTTTGTTTGCATGTTTTAGATTACCAGAACCTCATACTCTCCTTCCAATAGTACAGAGAAAGCTGACAGTATATAGATACACAAGATAGGAAATGACTGGCCAAAGTAAGGTCCCCAAAAGGGTAGGGGCAAAGAACATAGACTATAAATTAGGCATGAAACAGTAATGTAGTGCCTTCATTTATTCATTTAATGAATATTTATTAACCATCTACCTATTATGTGCATTGCCCTGAGCTCGACATTTTAACTATGTTGTAATCTTTATTAAAGCTAACCAACATATTAACATTTGTCAATAAGAATATGACATGCAAGAGTTAGGAAGCAATCCTTCCACATTCTGTGTTGGTCAAGAATTAATTATATAAGGCTATATCCAGTTTTCTCCCCACATATTAGAGTGAATAAGTCAACAATCATTTACTGAACACTTCTATATGCCAGGGGCTGTGCTAAGCACTGGTAATCAATAGTTTGTAATGTTAAAGGGCTCTTCTAACACAACAATTAAAACCTTTTATTAGGTTCACATTTTGGTTTCAACACTGGAACAAAAATTCAACAAAACTAAGTATCATTGATATAGATTGACTATTTTAGAATCATTATAAGATATCTATTTCAAGCATTATGCTGAAGTTTTGTTTAAAATGAATGGTTTTACAATTGCAAAAATTTTGACAACTGCTGGCATAAATATGATGTGATTGGTTCAAAATTGTGGTTATCTGATTTTTTAAAATTCCAATCCATGATTCATAAGCATATATCCATTAAAATCCCCTAAAGACATGTTTATCTCATTAGAATTCTGTATGGTAATCATATATGGGAATATTTATACCCAAAATCCATAAATCTTTGGGGATGGAGGTATGAGATAGTTGGGAATGGGGAAGAAAGCCAGGAAATGTGTAGTTTGAAGAGGAAAAGAGAAACTGATGATTTAGAAATTCTGTAATTGTACTACACAGTGTTATACATTTAGATTTAATTTATCCTTAAAAAAAAAACTGCCCTGACAACCAAATAATATTCTCAAGATTCGACTAACTTTATTTGTTTGTAAACCAAAATTCTGAAAGACATAAACACTGAATGGATCCTGGACAATGTATCTGTGTAAGTTAAATACATTTGCCCTAGAGGCTGTAGTAGATAACAAGTGGAATGAAATTGGTGACTCCAACTAGGCCAGAATGGATATTGGTACATATCACCAGACCGCCTTTGAATGTAGCCTTCTCCGAAATATCAATCTCTCTGGCTGTCCCTGGGGAATGGTTGCTAGGATGAGAGGTGGGGGCGGGGGGAAGGACAGCACTGGGGGAAAAGGGAAGAGTATATTGTAAAGAAAGCTTAAGACAAGGAACCATTCCTGCCCTACCCAAGTTGGCATTCCTTCCAAAAAAATGATGGAGAAGAAATATTTCCAGTTTTCTTTGTATGATGTTTCTGAAGTTTCTGTTGCCAATGTGAAAAATAAAGTTTCAGTATGAGACAAGAAAGTTGAAAAAAAAATAGAAGTAGCCAAGTCCTGCTAAGTAAGTTTACCCGCTGGAAATTTAGGGGAAATACAAAAACATATAGGGTAAACAGTGAAGGAAATAAAAGGGGGGAGGGGGAAGGAAAAGTTTGGGATAAGGAAGAGAGAGGGAGGGAAGAAGAAGGAGAGGTAGGGAAAGGGGGAAGAGGAGTGGAGGAAGAGGAAGGAGAAGGGGTAGAGGAAGAGAGGGAAAGAGAGAGAAGGAGCGAGAGGAGAGGGAGGGAGGAAGAGTGAGACAGAGAGAGAGAGAGAGAGAGAGAGAGAGAGAGAGAAGAGAGAGAGAGAGAGAGAGAGAGAGAGAGAGAACGAACAAGAGGCTTAATTACAAAATTTTTCACTTGGGGAAAAAACAGTAGAGGAAAGTGGGGCATGGTGGCATAGAGGATGGTATGAACCTAGATTCAGTCACATCATGAAAGGGGTGGGGGAGCTGTTTAGGAGACAAAGAAGAGCAATGGTGCTCACTTTGGAGAGAAAATTCAGCTTCCTTGGGAAGGGATATGAATATTCCCTGGGGAAGAAAGGCACCCCATCCATACCAGTGTCAGTATATCACACAGGAGCAAAGTCCCATTTGCTAATTATTGTTTTGCTTTTTGGGCCTATTCTCGTACCTGTGAGGAAGGACAGCTGCAACATATCACACATGGATTTGTTTCTGTTGTAACACACTATGATTCTAGGAATTTGGCCTGGATTACGCCATAACCACAAACAACATACCTAACCTTTGCCGAGGCTGTACAACAGTGTCGTTGACCATAAGAAAGATTAGAGAAGAGTCTATAGCTGAATCAATACAAAGTCATCACTACTGGGAAAAAAATTAAAACTTATGCCACACTGAGAAACTGTTATTATATGAATATGTGAAAACTAGTCCTGAATAATTCAACTGCAACTTCTGTAACTATAAGAAAGTAAAAACCATAACAATATCATGTTAATATGTGCTCATAATTTTTTCTCTGCAAATTGGCTCCTCTTCAGACTTCGCTAATTTTATCGATGGTACAATCATTCTAGTGACCCAGGCTCAAAATTCGAGAGCCATCTCTGATTCTTCCCTTTTCTTTGCCCCCTAAATACAATTAGTGTCTAACTCCAGCCAATTCTTATATAATGTCTCTAAAATTCATGATTTTCTTTTCATTCTCAGTTTCACCACCCTAGTTAATAAACTAATTATATCATATCTAGATCAATGGTTGTCAAAATTTTTGCAGCAGCAAAGCCCTTCATTTTAAACAAACCTTCAATATAATCCTTGCAATAAAAACCTTTTAAATATTTTTGTAAATGTCTACAACTACTGATATCAAATAATAGGACTGATTTTTCCCCCAAATGTATTTTCAGATCAATTTCATTAAAAAAAATCTTGCAATATTATAAATAGTTTATTTCATGAAACCCTTATGTCAGAGGTTATGTAATGCAACACAACAGATAAGATAAATTTGGGATAATTTCTAATTCTGTGAAATTCACTATTTAATGCCACCATTATCTCTAATTCATCTATTAGCCACAGTTCTGCCAAAAAAAATTCGATGAAGGAAAAAAATTAAACTCATGAAAGAGCTCATGTAGAATACCAGTTACAAATCTTTCCTCAGAGACTTATATGGCTTTAGTCACAGTCATACATAAGGTGAGCTTCACATTGTCTATGATATGTAACATTCCCTCTGATCTCCCTCCCAACTTGAACTCATAGGTTAAGTCTCCCAGGGGGTAGTTATCCAAGGTTCAACATATGCTGAAAGATTTCACTCCTAAAACTATAGTTCATGAGCCCCGACTAGTGCAATTGCATTTAATAGTCACCCAGATGATGCAATTAGCTCTAATCACAGGCATTTTATTGCAATGTCATAGTTACAACAGTAACTATAAAACATCCCCCTCCCATAAACCTGAGACACACTGTCCCACACTGTACACAAAGCATAAATGGGAAGTAGAAATACATATAGGCTACACTAGTAGAAAAACATATATTTAGGAAAACACATGACAATTTAACTTACCTCAGAAGCCAGAGGGCCATGATGTCCTTTTTATTCTCTAATTTCCTCATACTACTCCTCCTGGGTGCAGTATTTGTGTTGGTCATGTTGCTAGGCTTGGCTCTCTGAGCCTGCTTCCTCTTGTGAGAGGTGTCTACCATGGACAAGCAGCTCCACAAAAGTGTTGATGGGAGTCTGGGGAAAGAGGGAAAGCCTCTCTTCCCCAGAAGGTTGTGGAGTGATTTTTCTCTCAAGAAATAAATTCTTCCATATCTTCTTCCTAACTTTCAGAGCTCAAACTCCTCAGAGATGAATTAATTTCCTAGGGTGTGTGTTTTAATTTTTAACATACATCAGGTGTGAGAATGACTCAGCCAATGGCTAACTGCCCTTAAATTCCACAAGTTAAAAGTGCTACACTTCTCCTAAAAGTTACAAAATATGCTCGTTCATTTAGACTTTGTCTACAACCTTGGTATCTTCCTTTATATTTCATTTGTCCCTTAGGGGAATAAATATGCTTGTGATTTTATTGCTTTAGGAAACTCCCAGGAGAAGAAACTCCTTCTACTAATGTAGGGTATCACCTTCTCTACAAATTATAGTCTTAGAGATTATAACAATGTCATCACACTGGCTGGAGGTAAATCAGTTGATTACAGGGACCCCTGAATTGATTCCCCTCACATCTCCTACACATAGCTTAGCTCCTCCCACAGGGTGCCTATGGAAGCAATCTGTAAATCTGAGCACATGATGTCAGCCATGCCTACACATTATCAGTCTTCCTGCAGCTCCCAGCCATAGCCTCTCGATAGCACCTTGTAGATGGTGGTAACTATCCCTCCACATTTCCTCTCTTCTCACAGTTCTATGAAGTTCCCAACAGGTGGTACATATTATCATTTGCTTTCACCCCCTGTAGTTCTCCAGATAGCCCAGCAGGCAGTATTAATTCCCACTACAATTTACAAGTCCTCTTCATTATTCTTCCAAGTTTGCTTCCTGTAGTACAAACAATAGCTATTACTTTTTTTTTCCAAGAAAAAAAAAAGTCTTCTCTGTCATCACTGGCTCTATCTGCAGATGGAAATACTATAACGTTTCCACATTCTAGGGAGAGAAACACATTCTTCCTTCATGTAGCCGAAAAGTAGCATACTAAGGCAGCCTACCTCTGTGTTCTGAAGTTTTCTTTGTTCTATGGCTATTGACAACTTCTGGCCTCACACAAAAGTCCACTTGAGAATCATAAACATACTCTGACTCATTTCTGAGCTGGTCTCCCATCATTGGAATTGAATCGGGATTGGGTGACTTCACATTGACCCCCAATTTTCCTCAGCTGCAAAGCTGAGTCAGCACATCCAGGAGGCCAAAAATTTGACCAAGTACCTCCATTTTTTCCCTCAATTGTCATGCAGTTCCCTGACTCCTTCTGAGTACAGCATGGAAAGGATTAATCAAAATACTTGTGGCTCCTCATCTTTGTTCAGATAGAAGTAAGCTGCAACACATTATTACTACAATTCAAGAGAATGGAGGAAGGAAGGAAGATACCGAAGACCCTGCTGTGAGCCTAAAAATTGCACTATCTGTATGTAATTTGTTTGTATGTATAGGATAAGAGACAGTGTGTCAAATTTAACAGAAAACTGGCATCGAAATTAGGAAGAGCTGGGTTCAGATTTTACCTGTGAAACATACAGGTTGTGTGAGCCTGGGCAAGTCACTTAATTTCTCAATGACAAGACCACTCTCTTAGACTGTGAGAATTACAGAATAGTTCTCACTCAGCATGAGTACTGGGAGTTTCCTTACCAGGTGTTCTTTACACTGATAAAATCACAATCTGGAAGAAGAGCAAAAAAAGTAAGGTCCAGATTGGTTACATGCAGTGCATTAGACAAAATAGCAGATTCTCAGGCTTAACAAACTTATATTCTGTAACTCTTTTGTGCACCCCATTATTTCCACATCATCTCCAGGGCTACACTAGGGCTATACTATGTTGCCCTATGTCAATAAAATTTTATGTCCTTTTCCTTGCGAAAGCATTTTCTCAGGGTCCATAAGCTTTAAACTGTCTTTCTGTATAGTCCTAGGATGGATTAAAACAAACAAACAAATAAACAAACAGTAATAACAACTTTCTTGTGTTTCTCTTTGGATTTGAAGATTATTAGATGATATGGTGCCATTTTAGATCTTAGCTATAGTCTATATGAGTGAACCGATCTTCTCCCTGAGTTTTCATGTCACCATCATAACTGGGAGTCAATTAGATATATTTTTCAAGAGCAGCCACATAGTATAATAGATAAATCACTAATCTTGAAGGTATATGAAGGTTCAAAACATACCTCCAACATGTATTAGCCATCTGACCCTGGGGAAGACACCAAGTTTTCTATGGATCCAGGAATGTTTCTCAGACTGTAAATTGCAGAGCAGGTACCAATCTGCATTTGTGGAATTCGGAACAATATTCATTACGTAATGACTGATGATGATCAAATGAAAGCTCTAGTCCTTGTATGAGACAAAACAAATTATGCTAATAACCTGAAGATATTTTACAACTGAACTGAAGATTTGTGCTAGAAATAACAAAAATGAGGTTTGACTAGGTTTTCTAGAGTCCATGGAACTCTTGTTTCTATACCAAATAGGTTTTCATTACTAAACTAGCATAAGAAGATAAATGAACCAAGAAAGGACATGTTGCATGATTTATCTGCATCAATTTCTGATGTCTGCATAACATTTTGAGCCTTTTTTTAAAATGAAAATAATTATTTTAAAGGTAGGTAGGAGATATACATTATGTTCTAGTTTACCTCTTTTCTTAGGACCCCATTTAAAAAATGGCACATGGCACATGAATTAAGCCCAATCTAATTATTATGCATGGTTTGAGAATTTTCTTCTAAATGAGTGCTGTTATAAAAAGCCAGTCAATTTACATGTCATACTGAGATGCAGGTTAAAAGAGGGAGGATATAATGGCTTTCTGTATATTTGTATATCACCATAAATGCTCTTTCATATAAAAGAAAGACAAGAGGAATGGTCCTTTTCCATGAGGCAGTAAGGAGGTGGGGGTAGGGTATTACCTTTTGATCTGGGGGGAAAAAATAAAAGGAAACATTTCCCAAACAGGAAGTATCATCATCTGGTGACCTGGAGAACTTTAAAAGGCAGATAAATACTCATTTATCAGGGAAGGCTTAGGCAATGCCCATATGACACCACCATAAATAGGTTGGTTTTTTTTTAATTGAAAGAAAAAATAGCAATGTGTAGAGGATGGGTGGGGTTTGGAAAAGACAGGAGGGTAATTACACATAGCCAGATTCTGATGGTTTACAACTGGGTGGCATTCTTGACTCTTTACTCTTACTTACCTCATATATTTAATCAGTCATTAAGTTTGGACAATTTTAATTCTAAAATATCCGTCACATCTGTCTTCTCTGAATGACATAGACACCACATTACGTAAGGTCCTTGTTGCTTCTTTCTTGCAATAGCCTTCTGATACCTTCAAGTCTTTCCCCACTTCTTTCAGTATACATCTGACCATGTCATCAACTACTGCAGGGATGATTACAAACTCTTTTTTTCAGTTGTTTTAGACATTTTTCAATATCAATGTTTTTTTTTCATTTACCTCACCACAATTTCCACCAGTATCCCCCTCCTAAAGAGCCATCTCATATAATAGTATTTTCAAAGACAAAAAAAAAGAAAGTATGAAAAATCAGCATAACTGATCAACACATTGAAAAAAATCTGAAAATATGTGCAATGTACAGTACTTGTGGACTTTCCACATCTGCAAAGGAGTGGAGTGTCTTCTCAGGAGCTATACTTCTTCTTTATAATTTTGCAAATTCACTTTTGATTTTTGTTTTTCTTTGCATTTACACTGTCATAGCCATTGTATATATTTTTTTCTTGGCTCTACTTTTAAACCAGTACCAGGTCACTTCGATGGCTGCTACTTTACGATATAATTTTATAACTTCAAGTGCTGTTCTTCCTTCATGTCTTGATATTCTAGATCTCTTTTATTTTTTGCAAATGATTTTATTATGATTTATATTTTTTGTATTTTTGCAAATGATTTACAGTGAGTTCTGTAAGATATCCCTTTGATAATTTAATTGGTATAGCATTAAAACTGTAATTACCTTTGGTAATATTGTAATGTTTAACATAATGGCATGACCTGACCATGACCATTGAAAATTCCTCCAGATATTTAAGTTACTATTGGAAATGGACTTCACTTGCAATTATTGACCCTTGAATTTTGTTATTATATAGAAATGCTGTTAATTTTTGAATTTTTTTTCTTGTAGCAAGCAACTTTGATGAAGCTATTAATTGCCTCGGTATCTTTGCTTATTCTCTAAGATTTTCTAAGTAAAGCATCATGTTACTGGCAAAAGGAATAGTTTAATCTCTTCTTTTTCTAGTTTTACATATTTCCTTTCTCTCTCTCTTGTTATTGTTAGTGCTGGCATTTCCAGAACTATGTCAAGTAAGAGTGGGGAGAGTGGACATTCTTGCTTTATTTAGTCATTAACATTAATAATGTCTATTTTGTGTCAAGCACTGTGCTGTGTTCTAGGGAGACAAAGAAAGGGAAAAGACAGAAGCTGGTCTCAAGGAATGCACAGTCGAATGAGCAATACAACATTAAAACAATTACATACAAAGAAGATTTGTACAGGAAAAATTGGAAGTAATCAACGGAGGGAAGGCACTAGAAATTATGGAAGGCTTCCTGTAAAATGTGGGATTTTAGCTGGGAGTGGAAGGAAGCCAGGAGGGACAAGTGACAACCAGTGAAAAGGAAAATGCTTGGGGTCAAGTGGTAAAGTACCTTGTTTGAGGAATAGCAAAGTAAGGAGGTCAATGTCACTGGAATGCTGAGTACATGTGTTTCGGTGCTTGTGTAAAGTGTGTGAAGTATAAGTAGACTTGAAGGGTAAGGTAGCAGGACAGATTATGAAGGACCCAATGCCAAACAGAAGATTTTATAGATGATCCTGGAGGTGGCAGTGAGCTACTAGAGTTTATTGAAAGGAGGGGATGGTGATTAGGAAAATCAGAAAAAAAATTCT